TTTGGTCATACAGGAAATGACTGGCTACTAAAAAGTGTATTTGCAGTAGTAAGGATTAACACATAATTCTAAGGAAACTTAAATCTTAATGAGACACACACATTTTTTTCAAGTAAAAAGTTGATGACAAATGATTACAGAACTGTGAAAAATCACAAAAAGAAATTGTAAAGGTCAATGTGACAGAAGAAAAAACTAAGGCAGGAAGTCCCAAATTATATTTTTTTATAAAGAGGGAACTAAAAGCACTAAATGTAAAGTCTAACTAACCTGGTAAATCTTCCATAACTGCATATGGGACAAAGAAAAGTCCATGCTTTAACCAAACATGTGAAATTCCTTGGATGAGCATTACAAGAATATTTTGGATGACTGTATGCACATATGCTCTGGTGGAATGTATGTTTTCAAAGTATCAACCAGGAGGATTTCTTAGAATATATAAAGTTTTGGTTAAAATTTTGGGGATTTATTAGAAAGCCAGGTGATTTGAGGACACTGCTTTGTGAAACTACCGATTTCCAACCAGCTTTGCCTTATTCATCTAACTCAGCCTGACTGCATACACCAGAGAAGTCACCAGCTTTGAGAAGAAGCTGTGAATTGTGTTAAATTAGTTAATAATTTGACTTCTCTCCAATTTTGAGGAATTATTAATTTTTTGTTATTGTTCTTTATAGTCCTGGACAAAGAAAACAAGCCGTAAAAGCAATGCTGAATAATCTTTCACATATTTCCATGTAATTAATATTGCTTCTTAGATTTTAGTGAAGAAAATTTGATTTAGGTCTGTCTGTAACGCAAGCAAGATTTAATGACATACCACCTGGATTTCTGATTAACCAAAAAATATAATTGCAAAAGTTACAAAACAGTATAGAATTCAACATTAAGCCTAAAATATAATGTTGTCATTACATCCCCGAATTTTATTTTGATTTCACAGGTGCTTTACAAGTGACACCGAAGCGTTTCCTTTCCCCTCACTTTCAGCAAGAGGGACCCTACCCTCCCTCTAGCAATGAGGGCCTGCTTTTCCATAGGTCAAGTAAAACCCTGGGGCCTCCCAGGTCCTTTTTTAGCCTCAGAACACAGAGACCTATGAGAGGACAAAAGCACCATCAGAGAAGACCAGGTACAAGGACGAAGGGAACCAACCAGCCCCAAAAACATGTCCCTTACATGAACAGAATTACAAAACCGAGAACTGCTGGGCTAGCACTTCCTGCAGATAAAAGCTGGATTCCTGGATTCAATCACACATGGGAGAGACACCTGAACACAGCCTGTGTCCCAGCAGCCCGCAATGCTTTTGGCTCAACATCACCAGCACTGGCAAAGTCCAAATATAAATATGCTTATCCGTGAATCAGAAATACATTACGCTTCAATGTACTCTATCATGAGCATGTTAGGAAGGGGATTTTCAAATACACAGAGTAGAAGAGTTGCCATATTTTCTTTCCATGTAGGAAGTCTCCCTGCATGAGGATATGCAAGATTTGGTCTAAATCACATTATCACTTGAGGTTCCTAAGATGCCCCTGATTATTACACCGACACTGAGAAACATGCGTATATTACAATGTGTCTCTTAAACATTTGTAAAGCACTTTGATAATACCACAGCTGAAAAATATGTTTTTAGTTATCTTCAGGGAAACTGAAACCTGAGCAATTGAACCTAATCCTACAGGGAGCAGGTCTGGCTGGCTTTGAGAAGGGTAAGGAGTGGGCAAGGGAGGGAGTAGAGCTTTGGTTTGGGGGAGGATTTACAGGCCCCTCCCCCAAAAGAGAGGGGTCCGGTTAGAGTAACTTGGCTTGTTATTTGATCGCAAAAATAGCCAAAATTAAGTGAGAACACCATCTATTGTGATATCAAATATCAAGAGGGAGGTTTCTAAAATAAATAAATAAATGAATGAATAAATAAATAAATAAATAACCAAGATTTCCCAGAAAGAAAACTTGCCTTAGTTCCATAGCTGATTTTATAGTCAGCAGGTATACAGGGGTCACAGCTTCACAAAGACTTACATGACTGCCTCAGTCATCTTACCCAGCATCTGCTACTTTATAATCATGTCACATTCCAAGCCAATTATTAGCAAGGTTTATTTCTACTGTTTTCAATTATTTCCACTGAATATTAAAAATAAGATAAAAGTAACAATTTAAGGAGAGATAATAATGTCATAAAACCAGTAGCGAAGATATCAAATCAACCATAATGGTGTAAGCCACCCTATTGTTCCTTGACCCTGTGCAGAAACTCTGTGTCCAGGATCCCCAGGAGATACACGAGGTGTCCCATGGAGCTCCTCCTCCCCTTGGGCATTTGGAAGTGGCCACCAAAGACCCACACCACCTCCCCGGTTTCAGAGTGTTGACCTCTTAATGTTAAGTTTTAAAACTTTTTTTTTCATTTAAAAAACTGTAAGGTAAAAATATTTGTTTTTTTCTCCTAAATCAGTTTATACAGTGGTCACAAATATAATATTATTCTAGGGCTCCCCCCACATTTTAAAATTTGTACTATTTGTGTTTATAGAATCCCAGACAGCGAGGGCGCACATGGGATTGATACAGCCCACACGTTGTTTAAAATGGTCTATGCCACATGAGGCTTTTGACCTGAAAATATGACTCATCCCAAATACCTATCTATCCCACAACTGCTACAAGACCTTGTTAATTATATTTATAGAATTGTAGCACATTCTGAGATTAATGAATCACAAGCATACTTTTTATTGTCATCACCGTGTCTTACTTTCTCTTGTATTAATATACTCTCTACTTCTTACACCAATTAGGCAGCCTCAAAAAGAGGTAGCAAAAATGGATATTTTGGAACAGAAGTTTGTCTTCTTACATGAAGTTAAAAGTGTCTGGAGCTCTCTTCATTTTGCTAATTATACAAATAGAGGTTTCCTGGCAGAATGCCACCCTCCTTCCCCAGCCTCTGTGGGGCACACAGATGTGAGCCTTGCATTTCTGATCCAAAGCCAGCTCTGCTCATGAAACTGTCTCCTGTCTCCAAGGACACTGCATTCCCTACAGAGGGGACTGGGCTGGGTCAAACCCTCAGTCCCAAATCAACAGGACAGAGGCACTCCCAGCCTCTAGAACTGCAGACATACCTTCTCTTCTGAAGATATTTAAGTAAGATGTTTAGGTCAAGGAAGAACAGTGCACAGCCAGAAAGTCAAAAGCTCTGTTCAAGTTAGGCTCATGAGTTCATTCAGGGATGTTAGATACTGCATTTCTACTATGACGGTGATCGTATTTTTCCAATGCCTTGAACTGAATTTTTTTTTACAAAGAAGAATGGTTTAGATTTTGGGGAGCTACTCAAAGTAACACACAGTGGACCACCAGCACACTTACTTCCACCACCAATAGTATAATCTATCAATATCAGAGTTGTAACAATACTATTGGATAATATAACTAGGAAAGTGAGAGTTAATCACATGAAAGTAAGATCTAAGAGATGGAACAATAAAACAAATGGTAGTTAAAATGACACACATACACACACACACATATGTATAAAACATATATATGGATATGACAAATCAAAAAATGTCAGTGGAAACATATGGACAGTAAAGTAAAAATTACTATCTTAAACTGAGCATAGTGGCACATGCAGATAATCTCAGCAATATGGGAGAAGGGGGCACGTCACAAAAGAAAAAACATAAAAATAAAAATAGAGAGCTGAGTATGTTGCTTCATTCAAAGGTCCCGGGTTCAACTCCCAGGACAAAAAAAAAAAGAATTAAAAATCAAATGAGTCAATATTTGTTATGGTTTGTACCTAGTTGTACACCAAAGACTCTTGTAGTCAAAGGGCTTTTTTGGAGGTGGTCAAATCTAGAGTGTGTGACTGATTCGTAGTGCAATGCTGGGATTAAGGGTGCTGAGATTGAGTGAGTGATTGCTGGACCAGTCCACTGGTTGGATTGGCACTGCTCTAGTCCCAGTATAAGCAGCAGAAAGTACAACATAAGGGACAGAAAGAGGCGTGTCTCCTCCTCCCTTGCTTGCCTTTGCTGGCTTCTACCTCCGTGAACTGTTTCTCCTCTGCGCGGCCACCCTGCCTTGCAGCCAGCTGATTACGGACTGAAACCTCCACAAACTGAGCTTTAATTTGGGGGGTCAGGTGTTTTGTCTCAACAACAAGAGAAATGTAACTAAGACAATATTATATACAGAAAAGGTTTTAAATAGCTAAGAACATCTTCCAAAGTTTGCAACTGCTTTTAAGACTAAGGCCAGACAAGGTCTCAATAGAAGGGGTAAAGATAAACTGAAGGTCTTGTACACTGGAGAAAAAAATGAGATATATGTATTTGGTTTCTGAAATTAAGACAGAAATGTAAAATTCTGAACCACCAATTTATGTTTTTTCATACAATAAAATTAAATTCAGCTCCACCCTTCTACTCACCTCTGCAGTCAGAGTCATTATCTGCCGTGCCATTGTGATGAGTCGAACTGTGTCCTCATAAAGCTATGCCGAAGCCCCAACCCTGGGGCTGCAGACTGTGGCCCTGTGTGATGAGGTCTTTACTGGTGTCACCAGTTAAGATGCACTCTTTGTGGTAGGGGAGACCCTTCGCCCAACGGGACCAGTGTCCATATAAGCAGAAGGGGCTCTGGACACAGAGACAGACAGCAGGAGGACACCAGGTGCCCCCAGAGGCAGAAACAGGGGTGCTGTCTGCAAGACAAAGGTGGCCAAGTACTGAGCCTTCCCAGAGCAAGGAAGAATCCTACCCAGAGTCTCAGAGGGACCCCAGTCCACCAGACACCTCCGTCCCCAGCACCCGAGACAGAGGGATTTCCTTGGTTTATAGGGACCCAGTTGTGTTTCACTGGTACAGCAGCCCTAGGACTCTCACACAGGCACCATGGGTTTTTTTGCAAAGCCTTATGGGAAATCTAAGCAAGGGACAGGGTTAGGGGGTAGAGTGCCAGGGTGACCTCACCTGCTACGTAGTCGCCAAACCCAATGGTTGTCAGGGTGATGACTACAAAGTAAATGGCATCCAGGGCACTCCAGCCTTCTATGTGCTTGAATATGATCGCAGGCAGAGCCACGAAGAGGACACAGCCGAACAGGATGAAGATGATGGTGGAGATGATGCGGATCTTGGTCTGACTAACATTCCACTTCTACAGAGAGGCAGAGAGAGAGCAGCCGGTTACTGGCAGGCCTGTAGGGCTAACTTACTCCACGTTATCAGAAAGTGACAGCGTCGCTTTATTTCCGTCTACCCTTACTTATAAAAAATGGATAGAACGTAAATTACTCAAAACAACCAATATTCATAATAACGCTACTTTACCATTACCTAGCTTTGCAACTGGTAAAATATTTTTTGAAAGTGTACTACATTTTCTCCAGGAATATGATTTCAAATATGCATTATTGTTTGTGTGCCTGAACTATTTTTCAGCTATTTCTACCCTACAGGCATATAAACACTTGAGATTAGAGAGAACCGAAGCAGGAATTACATATTTATAAGCATTAATGATAAACACTGGTAAACATTAATTATGAAATGAATTAAATTGAAATACAGAATTAATTCCATTTATTAGCGTATACTAGTAACAAAGTCTGCCGTCTCTCACTGAGCCAGACAAATTGTTCCACTAAAGTAGGACAAATGTGCATTATGATGACAGAAGCTCATCTTTCTCTTTTTCTTTTCACTTTCTTTTTGTTTTTTAGACAGAGTCTCACTAAGTCACCAAGCTGCCTGGGCTGGGCTTGACTCTACAATCCTCCTGCCTCAGCCTTCTAGAGCGCTGAGATGACTGCTACGTGCCACCCCGCCGGCTGACGCTTGTCCTCTAACGCGGAGTTCTACATGTCTGAAACTGCTCCTCTGTGCCACCCCCCGCCGGTCTCAGCTGGACAGCCAGGAGAGCTACAGGATCTGCAGGCGAGGGTGAGCCTGCAACAGCCCCAAGCCGTCACTGCTGCCAGATTTGCGGCGTCTCTACGGCCGCTGACAAGAAGCCGCCTCCATACCCCGACGCAGGAAGTGACGTCACGTGCGGGCTCTCCAGTCAAGCTCAGTTTCCATGGACTTTAAATCTCTGGCTGAACCTGTCTTGCGTTCTGCAAAAACTATAGGTCACTTCCTGCACTAGGAAAATCACTAACTGTTACAGTTTGGGGATGTTTTGGAGATGAAGGTCTGCAAGACCACAGAAATGAAACAGGTGACAGGAGTCTTTAGTCTGCCGTCCTCACCGCCTATTTTGGAGTTAAGTGCGTTCATGTTCAGCACATGTTTACAATAACGCTTGGTATCCAACACTGAGTCATGATTGCTGCCGTGGTGTCACCACGAGGACGTTCTTTTTAATGTAGCAACATTTAGGTCACCTGAGAAAATGTTAATCAGCACCGTGCAGGCAGCCAAAACTGTGTTACATGAATAAACGAACAGTTTGGCATGACCAAGTCCGTGCCACCGATCTATCCTCTTGATTAACATACGTACAGGATACTTGAATATCTTAGAAGGAAAGTGTCATACCATAATAAAGGATCGAAAGCCCAAGTTTGGACTGTCTTACTCCATTCGAACAGTACAAGTGTTTGAGAGCTAATTTTGATGTTGAATATGAAGCAGTTAATGCTAAAACTGGAACAGTAATTTAATTGAGAAATAATACTCAGTAGTTTTAATTCACCAGTAGAGCTGTGCAAATATTTTGTAAGTGTGAAGAGATAAAATATTGAATAATAAATGAAATTTATTTGCAATAGTGGTATATGTAATAACAAGTGAGTTATAATCCCACACTGGAACACAAACAGCTCCTTTTTCCATAATTTCCTTATAATAGCAAGCATATTCATTTACTTAAAACAAGAATAAAAACATTTTTATTTTAGTAATTTTTTTTTATTGAGTATAAAGCTTGCTTTGCTTGTGCTGAATTACAGTCCTTACACAAATTTCTATCAATGGCGTTTCTGAGTTCTGTTACATGATCACCATCTCTGCAGTTGCTCTTGATTGTTACATCTTCCCCAAAGGGGCTGTGTAAGTTTACAATGACACAGTCAATTTAAAAAGTGTCTGAGAAATTTTTTTAAGCAACAAAATATTGCCAGTCATTTACTACCCATGCTCTGCTACAATTAAGGCTGCTGCAAACTCTGAGAGTAAGGCTTCGTGGTACCACCCTTGCCATTGTGCAAGCAAGATTTATGTTGGAAGAAAAACAACTAGTTTAAGAGAACATAGGTGGATGACAGCTATGAAACTTGAATCTAGGACTGTTGGATTTCTATTTTTCTGTACACTTGTGGGTTTTTCTCAGAATAAGTGATAATTTACTCACTCAGATAAGCATAAAATAAATAAAATGCAATGACTTACATAGTAACAGAAATGCATATAAACTGGGGTTGTTTTTTGTACCAGGACTCAAACTCAGGACCTTGCACTTGCCAGGCAGGTGCTTATGCCATTGAATTATATTCCCAGCCCAAGATGTATATAAACTGTTAGAGAAATCCAAATAACTGAATTTCTTAGCTTTACCAGAGGTATAATATTTCAAAATTACAGAATGAATATGTTTAGTTAAAAGTCTACGGTACTCACAATAAATGTATCTTCCACTTTGGCAATTCCTTTTCCAAAGATGGTCCCTAGTTGATCTCCAACTCCAGCCAACAGAAAACCAAAGAGAGGAATTCCCAGTAAGGCATAGATGATACAGAATATTTTTCCGCCTTCTGTACGTGGTGAGATGTTTCCAAATCCTAGAAAAAGAAAACAAAACATTCAGTTCTTTGTAAATGAGTAATCCAAATATCTGACTTCCAGATTGATCCAGAAATTCCCACATATTATACCAATTTTTGATTTCCACTAGTTACGAATCCCTTCACAATACATAATCTTTTGATATATTTAATATAAAACACACTTCCAAGCAAATGTTTCGATAATATTCAAAGTATAGCTACTGTTCCAATTAAACTTTGATAAAACAGTGACATCTGAGGTGCTACCACATGCAGTGAAGTCTACATTTTCATTCAATGGGCTTCTCTCTCACCAGTACTGACAATCCCATTGGTTATTCCAGCTTTCATCAGTACTTATAATGCACTGAGAAGAAATGGTTTGCTTTTATTTAAGAGTATTCAAATATGCTTAAATTATTTAAGTATTAAAGCCGTGTAGCAAATTTTTAACTTTTTATTCCAGTACACTCCAAAAAGCAGTAACTGCAAACTTAGACTTTATTTTTTAAGTTCTGAAATTTCTGAAGCCTTTCCTGTTTTGTGCAAGGCTATCAGCTTGTCAGAATCCAAGCAACAGAACGTTGCTGACTTTACAGTCACAGGAACGCTCACCTCACTCAAGAGTAAAGACTGTTCCCCTTTAAGAAACCCACAGAATGCCTCTTGGGTAGATAATCCTCTCACTGTCCTTCAGGTTAAATTCATCAGAAACTTTAATTCTAATTTTATTTCCTTCAAACATATGGGTTGGGTATTTTGAGATTGACTTTTGGTTGTTATTTTGTTGTTTTTTTGTTTTTGGTTTTGTTTTTTTTACTATTATAATCAAAGATCATAGGACCTGTAGGATTTTTGCCTTTTGGAATCTAGTGAGATTTTCTTTGTGGATTTATTGTGGCTACATTCTATAATTGTTTCATCATTATTTGAAAAAGAATGTGGGTGCTTTATTCATTAAAATTCAGGAAAAGTGTATTTATATTTGGCCATCTTTAACTCATACATTTTTTTCCCTGTAACATTTCTACCTTTCCCTTCCTCATCCTACTCAGTCGGTTTGGGCTACTGTAAGTGAGTCCATTGGCTGAGGGATTACTCTCAAGTACCTAACTGTCAGGAACTTTTTAACTTTTTTCCATGACCCTGTTCTATGTCATGATAACAGCAATTACACGCCTGTCCTTGTTTTTCAGTGCTGTGTCCTGCACTTCCTCTAAGTAGGTGAATTTTTTTTATTTTAAAGAGAGTAGTATATGAGAAACAAAGAAAACAATAGAACAGTAGCAGCATACCAGTATCACGAACATAAACAAATCAAAGCAAGAACATTCAAAGTGATACAGGGTCTCAAGACAAAATAATACAAATCAACAGTGGTTGTTACGTTGCATATCACTATCCTCAACTACATTGCTCAGATTACCAGATGTAAGAATGAAAGATTGCTCAAACCTTTAAAGAGAATAAGAAAATAATTCACTGATAAAACATTAGCGATAATACAGTTTCACTAGACAAGATGATAGTTCACCATTGTAATTTCATTGCATACTGTTACTTTCAAATCAGTTGCTCAGACCGCCAGACACAAGCATGTACAATCAATCAGAACATAAAATATTGTAAGCATTGACTGTTCAATACACCATCAGACATCAGCAATACAGTCATCAAGGCTATTCATATATATATATTTATGTTTTGCATTCCTTCTTTCTTTTTTCTTCTTTCCCTCATCCCAGTCATTCCTTACTTTGAGCAATTTCTTTCCCTTTCCTATCATCTATTGTACGTTTTGAGTTTTACCCAGTCTTTCAGGTTCAGGAGGTGAATTTTTTAAGCAGCTGAGCATTCCTGGACATATTTGCATACTTGTAAGCACAGTGCATTGCTGGCTTGGTCAGTATTTGCAGGTAAGAGATGCTTTTCAGCCTCCACGGACTCCCAGTTATCTGCGGTACGTTGCGGATTCTGGTCCAATGCACTGGGGCAGCTGTGTTGGTCTGCAGGACTCTTGGGTAAGTGTGCTTTCTGTACAACTTCCACGTGGGACCAGGTTCTCCCGGGTCTTGATGACAGCTACCAGTTCCCAGCCACCCCATTCTTCTCTGGTCCAGTGGCTACTCTGGGGATGTCTGTACACAGATCTCTGTCTGAAGCTTCTCTTCACAGCTCTATTCCGGAAACAAAGACTGGAGACTGCTACCATAAAAGTTACAATTAGCAGTTCCACAGAACTTTTTCTTACAGGCTGACTACCCATGGCCCACTTCTGCTTCTAATTTTGGAGACTTTATGAAATTCCCTTAGAAAAATGTTCTTTTTGGAATCCTCTGTTTTGCTTCTATGTGGGTTCCTTAATTCCAATAGATTTTTCACTGTCATTCTGACTCTACAAGCTTTGTATCATCCTGTAAATCCTTTCCCACTGTGGTGCCTTCAAAACATCATTCCTGCCTTCAGACAATGGAATATTTTTAAATTATTTTATGCGTTCTGTCACCTCAATGCAACGTTTTGCCAGTGTAAAGTAAGCACACGTGTTATGGCTTATATCTAGGTATTCCCACCAAAGCCTCATGATGTCATAGCTGGGGCTTTTGGGAGGTGGCAAGATCTAAATGCTGGGATTAAGGGTATCCCATCCTGGGTGTGGGTAGCGCCAATCAACAGGTTTGGGCTAAAGGAATTGAATTTGTAAATTTACCAGACATTCAATATTAATTATCTTATTAAAAATTCACATATTTATTATAAGATATGCACGCCATGATTTTTAAAAGCATTTTACTTTAACGTGTAAAATTAACCAGTAGAAAGAAATATCAGTCAGGGTAAAACCCTAGTAAGAATTGGCAATATGTTATTCCTGGTTCCATCACTCAGTTATGTGACTTTGAGCAAATTATTACCCCATCTGCTAAAAAGGCATGTTAATATTAAGCACTTCCTTGAGTTGTAACTTAGTAAAGTACTACACGAAAGGTGCTTAGGAAAGCCCATTGTACTGTATGTGTTCAATAAATGCCAGGTACCCCAGTGATTATGATAATTACTATCAGTAACATCAGTGGAAGCAAAGATTACAGTCAAGGTAGCTGGTCCTATCAGTAAACAAACTAACGGGCAGGTTAGTGGCTCGTGGCTGCACAATGTTTTCTACCATACACTGTCAGAGGTGTCAATCTTGACAAAGGACACTGACCAAAAAGCGTAAAAAGCATAAGGTAATTCTTCACATATAATGGTTGTCAGGATTGGGGGTGTTTGCTCTGAAGAAAAGAAGACAGGGCAGAAGGAGGCAGCCCACTTGATTCCAACCACTTGAATGATTGAAAAGTGAAAAGGAATCAGACCCACTCAAGATCCCTCAAAGCAAAGGGCAAAAGTAAAGGGTGAGAGCTACACAGTGAATTCCTGTTCAGGTAACTTCAGCCACAGCAGAGCAAGTGGCTGTAAAAGGCGGACAGAAGCCAGATAATCACCTGCTGTGTTTAACACTTTGGCCTGATGGTCCAACGTGTACATGCACATGTAATAGTAAGGACAAGGTTCTCTAATATCTGTTTGGCCTTGAATGATAACTACTCATGCATGTATTCAAAACTCCAAAAATACGGGTTGAGTATCTGTTTGCCAGGCACTATCCTCAAAACTAAGGGTGCAAGTGTGAAACAGGCAGATCTCATCTGTCAGAAGGAACCAAGGTAAGAGACTCATACACTTGCACACACTCACACAATGCATGCTAAATGCGTGCTACAAAAAGCACAGGGTGTCCTTAGTCCCTATGTATTTAGGAGAATGGTAGGATCTGCGCACAGGATCTGACCACCCAAGGCTGTGATCAGCAACTAAGTGGAGTCACCTAGGTGCAGAGAGAAGGAGAGTTCATGACCAGGCTGAGGAACTAACTACAGCAGCAAGCCCTCTGAGGAAAGAGAATCCAGCATTCTGAGAAAGAATTTCAATACAATGGACAAGAATGTTTTAGTCCTTTTCTTGTCGCTGGGACATAATACCCAACTCCTGCATCTTAAAGGAGGAAAGGTGTACTTTGGATCCTGAATCTTACAGGATTCAGCCCCTAGCTTGCTGTCTCCAAGGCAGGAAGGGCGTGGAAGAAGGGTCTGGTGGAGGACAGCTGCTCATCTCACAGCAAACACGAGGCAGAGAATGGAGGACCCTGGGAGGGAGATACACCAAGCCACATCCCCAGTGACCTGCATCTTCCGGCCAAACTCCACCTCCTACCAGCGAGGCAGCTGTGGATTCATCTACAATAAGTACAGCACCTCCAGAATCTAATCTCCTTCCATACCAAAAGCCCTGCCCCTGAACGCATGAGGCCTGGGCAGGGACACATTCTAGATCTAAACCCCACAGAGAATGTATAGGACAAAGGAAGAAAGGTAAGCGTAGGCTACATGAGGAAGAATCACATTCATGCTAAGGATTTTGGCTTCATCCTATGAGCTGAAGGAGCTACCAGAAGACTTCAGCTGGGTGGCAGAGGACCTGAGTTGACGTTCTGAAAATTTCTTTCGGCCAGAAAGAGCAGAATGTGGGTAAAGAGGCAAAAAGAAAAGTGTCAGGCTTAGATTCTAGCGTGGTGATCTTAGCAACATTTCTCTCAGGTAGACACTCTGAACAATGCCCAGGTATGACAAGGCCAAAGGTAGAATCAAGGACAAGGGCTACAGCTTAGTATGTGTCCTCCAAAGGTCCACAGGTGAACCCAGCATGGCACTATGGGGCAGTAGCAGAATCTTTGGGAAGTAAAGCCTGGTGGGACGTTAGGGGTGTACCTGAAGGATAGTGTGGACCCTCTGCCCTTCTTGCCTCTCTGTTGCTTCCCAGCTCATGAATGTAGCAGTTTTGCTCCTCACTCCCTGATATTACCATCTTGGTATCCTGACCAGAGGCTCCAAATCATTAACCAACCTGCTCTTGGAATAGAGTGTCCAAAACAGTAGACCAAAATAAACCTTTTCTCTAAATGAGTTACCTGA